TACTAAGAAAGCTCAAGAAACTTACTGGTAAGCGTTTGGCTACCTGATCATCCACAGTGGGATCAAGCTTTCTGTGCTGCCGAAGATAGCTTGTAACGGGTTCAGTTTAAACACACACACACACCCACACACCAAACAAACAACACTTGAAGAGAACATCATTATTTCACTTACTCTATCTTTTGATGTAGTTGTCGTCTTTACGCTAATGACCGGTTCACCCTTAGATTTATCCATTATCACAGTCCTTTCTGTTGCTTTGTTTCCTACACAAAAGCGGGGAGGGGAAAAATTAGACATTTAATGCATAACTCAGCTAAATGGAGCCAGTTCTCCACAAAAGCGGGGAAGGGAAAAATTAGACATTTAATGCATAACTCAGCTAAATGGAGCCAGTTCTCCACAGGCATAAACTCAATATTCTTTGGGACCAGCATTAGATGTTTAGTGCCTGGAATTCTACAGACGGATGACTTCTTCAGTGAAGGGGCATGTCTATTACGTTAAGGGTATTTCAGACACTGGAACTCAAGTCTGAATTATCTTTTCCCACTTCCCTTCTGTGTCCCACCTACTTTCTATTGCACAGTGTGGGGTGGGGCTTGGTAACGGGCTGCGCACTCTTCCAGATGCTGCACAGCCAGAGAGTGAAGCTGGCAGCAAGTTTCAACCACTTTGGTTTGTAACAAAGAAGGGTGAGCAGTCTGCTAATCGAATGAAAGGCATGGGTGAAGGAGGAAGCAATCCAGACCCCACAAAGGTGTCCTGCAAAGGAGGACCAGAAAGGACAACCCAGTACCTACTACCATTTCCACAGGGATGCATCTGCTCTTACACAACAAAACGGAACACGAGACAACGACGGCAGACCCTTCAGCCTTATCCGCTTTCTTCCCTTCTCTGACATTTATTTCTACCTTCCCTAATGTTCCAATACAGTCTTAAAAAAAACAAACACAATAACCACAACAAGAGAAAATGATGGTACCCACTTAAGTTCGGGCGCAGCCAACTTGTGGGTACTGATCACTCCCCAGTTACACAACAATTCCTGCTACATTTTTTTTTTTTTGGTATTGTGTGCCTGCACCTGGAAGTCATGTTGACCTCTGTTGACTAGACCCCTACTGGGGGCCTGGAGGATATTCAGAGAGGTGGCAAAATAAAGCCTGCCTCTGTCCTCCCAACATGGTATTCCAAGGAAGTCTGCCATCCAAGTACTAACCACAGTTGACCTTGCTTAGCTTACGAGCTCTGACGAGATCAGTCTTGCCTGGACTATCCAGGTCAGGCCTGCTACACTTCTTGAAGGCAAAAGTACTTCATTCCCATGTTAACACTGGCAGAAACATAAACTGACTCTAATTTTGAAAGGTCAACCGGAAACTACATTTGAAATACCTGGTCAAGATTCTACGAATGGTATGAGGAACAATATAAATAAATTATGAAGTATTAAAACTTGCTGAGGACATATAAAGTATTAAGCTGTTAAGATATGCAGAATTCTAACTACTATTTCAATAATACAAGGTGAAGTATACAAGCTATAACAAATAGGCAGGTGAACTGGTAACAGATGTAATTTGCGCATTGAATGAAATGCCCCCATTTGTGTTTGTATGTTTGTTTGTGTGTTATGAAAAATAAAAAACATAAAAAACAAACCAACCAACCACTGGCAGAAACTAGTGCCACTTGAAAAGGCAGATGTTAAAAGCATCTGCCTCAGGTAAGCCCAAGTTTTTTGTACTCCAGTGATACTTACAAGCAGCCACCAAAACAGTCACGCAGGCTACCAAACAGTTTACCAATGAATGGATTTTACTACCACCAGAAGAGAGTGTAACATATACGATATGATCTATCCAAGCTGATGGCTGTGTTGGAACCAACTCTGACTTGGTTACATCTAACCAGTTTGATAAACACATTGCAAGATAAGCACTGCTCTGAAAATCTAGAGCACTCAGTCTGCAATGCAGGCAAGTATTATTTAAAGGTTGGGCCGGGGGAGCAGCTCAAGAGCAGAGCATGCAGATTCAGGCCCAGGCACTTCAACGTCGAAGGATGCCCGGTAGCAGGGTGGGGAAGATTTCTCTCCACTCAAGATCTTGGAGAACTACTGCCAGTTACAGTTGACAGTACTGGGCATTGCTGTACTGTAATGAAAATGTAGGAACAATGAGTGGCTTCCAACAACAAATGAATTTGTTTGGCAGAGCCAAGATTTGACCTGAGGGCTTCCCAGACTACATCCTTAACCTACAGAATACCGGAGAGCTGCCAGATCCCCCCCCCCCCACGCAGCTGCCATCCATTTAGCCTTCTTCTCAGTGACAGAGCCTAGTAGAATACCTGATTTGGGGGTTTTAGACTGGTCTGCTGATCCAGCTTTCACTTCTTCTTTCCCCTTCTCATCCTTCTCTTCAGTTTTTTTGGCATCTTCTTTCTGGTCTCCCTTCTCACTCTTTTTGGTGCCGGGAGACCTGCAATATTGCCAAGTTCAGAATGGAGGGAGGGAAAGCGAGGCACACAAACTTCGGTGGGGCAGCTTCATTGTACTGTCAAATCAGATCTGCTCCTTTTTTCGAGAAGTGCTGCAAAGAGCTTTTTCAATTGGGATTTGTCTAGACTTTGGGGTAAAGGAAGTAGGAGCCTGTTTTTAATTTTATACCAGACAGTTCCTCCTTGTTCCAATATACTTCATTAACTACTTCCAGAAATTCTGGAAAGAGGTGGTGCACAAGCTTCAAATACTGCTGGGCCTATGTTCCTCTAGGCAGATAAAGCATTAAACCCCCCCCCCCAAAAAAAAGGGGGGGGGGGAATAATTTGAAGAGTATTACCTGTCACTGGCCGATGCATCACTTTTCACCTCATTTTCCTTTTTCTCCAAGGGCTTCTTAGCAACAGGTTCATTTTTGGCCTGAAATTCATTATTATTGTTAGAAATCCTTGAAGTAAAATCTTAGGATATTTGGGGGCCTGGAGAAGAGAGAGGGCGAACAACGGGTTTTTAAAAAATGACGGGGGAAAAAAAAAGGACAATCACTCACTCGTTCAACAGATATTATTTTCCCATGTAATTCCGTTTTGTGGCAATGCGCAATGCATTTTGTGGTTTCTTCTGCTGTGGACATAGTCACAAAACCGTAACACCGAGCGCCTGGACTGCGAGCATTGGTGACCACTTTTGCGCCCACCACCTTGAGAAAAGGAAGCAAGTGCATTAAACATGGAAGGAAAGTGAGCGCTGCTGCACAGCTCAGTTCTCAATGTCGCAACTTTTCCAAGGTGGCAATTTCTATACCATTAATCTGTAACACTTGTGGCTTACAGTGGCAACCAGTAATTGTCATGCAAAATTATAATACTCCATAAATGCATTTAAGATCCATTATAAATATCACACACAAAAACACCAACACCAACTTCTGCATAAATCAGAGGGTCTCCAGATGTCCAAGTGACTATCAAAACCTAATTTAAAGGGGGTGGGTGGGGTATTTTACATCATCTCCAACTCTTCCACAGTACATTAGCCCTCTTTACATCATCTAGAAGCCAAGTATAGGGCATGGGGGTGTGGCTGCAAAGGAAGCTTTATTTCTGGCCCCTGCTGACACTTCACCAGTCTGGCCTTTGGGGGGGAGCAAGGTACACTGCTTGACCTTAATTGATGCCAAGGGACTCAGGAAGAGTGACAGTCCAAGGCCTAGTAGAATTTGAAGCAAGTTGGTACCTAGGACAGCTGACTGAACATACTCAGCTGATTCTTTAAGACAATGCTTAACCAACAAGTTCTGTGTTTTATGCCAGCCGTCGCTTCAAGAGCAGCCCCACATAAAATGCATAATCGTTTGTATCCAACTGTCTGGTCTTGCAAGGGCTCAGCCATCAACAAGACTTACTTTTCCGTATTTGCTAAAGAGGTTCTTCAAGTCAGTCGCTCGGGTGGTGGAAGCAAGGCCGCTCACCCAGAAGTTCCGGCCAGAAGCGGCAGCACTGGGACCTGGTGGGAAACAGAAGGCAAATGCATCAAACTGTGTTGTGACACGGCCACACTCATTGCTGAAGAAGCCAGCCCCACGGGAAAGGGAGATGCCCTAGACAGTTTGCCCGAGGAAGCTATTTACATCACAGCAAATGTCTGAAATCTGATTAAGAGGCCGTGGGTGAGAACCTGCTCTGCATGCAGAAGGTCTTAGGTCCAGTCTCTGGCAGTTCCTGTTAAAGGATCTTCGACTGCAGGACTGGGAGACATTTCTCTATTCCAGGGCCCGCAGAGAGCTGATCGCAGTCCAAGCAGACTCTTCTGAGCTAGATGGACCTGTAGTCCGAGGCAGCTTTACACATTCATGCCTGTCACTGGGTTCAATCCATAACAATGCAGTTCCTATGCCCAAACTCGGCAAATCCCAGCCACATGGCATTCGGAGACTTGCTGGATATGCTCCTTCTGGTGACACTACCAACCGAGCTGGGGACTGCTGAAACTGACTCTCCTGGCCACTGCTGTGTTCTTTTTACTGCATTTACCCGCTGCCTTTCTCCCCAACGGGGGACCCAAAGCAGCTTACCTCTTCCTCCTCACCTCCATTTTATCCTTGCAATAAACCCTGAGATCTAGGTTAGGCTGAGAGTGTTTGACTGGCTCAAGCTTCCACAGAAGAGTGGGGATTTGAACCCGGAGTCTCCCAGGTCCTAGTCCGACACTCTAACCATACCACCACACTGCTGAACGGTACAGTGATGTGGGTATCGTGTAGGACACAGTGGCAGCTATGACATATTCCAGTGTTTGTTATGACAGTTCCTTTGAAATCTGGCCATAGGCTGCACTCTGGTTACAGGACGAGCTTTGGAAGCTGAAAACAGGCCTCTGTTGACTGCCTAAAATATAATCTTTGAAGAGGGCTGACAGGATGATAAAGCCTGGACACGTGATTGGAAGGGGAAGTTGTTTGGTTTCTGGACCACAACTAGGGGTTCCAGGGCTGTGGATCAAACATGGTGCCATATCCTAGCACTCTGCTCAGCTAACAGCTTCACCTTGCTGGGGGGGGGGGAGAGCAACAGTGGGAGGGCTTCTGGGGGTCTGGCCCCACTGGTGGACCTCCTGATGGCACCTGGGTTTTGGCCATTGTGTGACACAAGAGTATTGGACTGGATGGGCCATTGGCCTGATCCAACATGGCTTCTCTTATGTACTTATGCTCTTCCAGCCCAAGACCCTTCTCTTCCAACCAAGGAAGATGCTGCTGTTAGCTGGAGTGGGAGAATATAACCCAAGGCTTCAGCTGAGGAAGAGGTTGTTCAACAATGATTTCTATCCCACAGCTCTCAGGCAAAATGAAACAAAACAACAACAACAACAAATGACCAAGGCAGCTTTCAATCTATAAAAAGAAAACATTAACACACCACAGAACAGCCAATAAAAACCACCACAAACACGAACATTTTAAAAGAATATACGTACCTTTCTCTTCTTTTGGAGCCAGCTTTGTGTCTTTGTTCTCCTCCAAACTAAGGACAGAAAGAAAAAAAAGGAAAAACCAATAAGGAAAGAAAAGACAACTGACATACAAAATTGCAAGAATTCAATACCTACCAGAATTTAGATGTTTAAAAAGTAAAAAAAACAAAAACAAAAAGCCAACAACAATAAAAAACATCTTATGGAGATATCCAACAAGCACAGGACGGCAACCTTACAGGCATCTTGCAGACAATTAAAAGTAAGGATTTAAGGAAAAACAACCTCTGATGGTTGCAGAAAAGAAATCAAACTGTTCTGTTTAAAATATGCACAAGGAAAAAAAAGATGGCTTTTTTTTTTTTAGTATAATGCAACAATTTCATCAGTCTTGCAGGCCAATGGGAAGTAAACATTGGCCTCACTCTGAGAGACCAAAGAGATATTTTTTAAAAGGGGGAAAAAAAGACAGCATCTGGTCTAAAACGCAGAAAAAACAAACCTCGTGTTCTGATCACCACCCTCTGGGGCAGAGGCCTCTCTAGTGGCAGAGGAGGAGTCTTCCTCACACTGAGCTTTCTCTTCCGTCTTCGCGGCCTCTTGGCTGGCCGCACTGGCCTCACTACTGGCTTCCAGACTCTGGGCTGCTGTTTTGCTACCCTCATCATCATCTCCTCCTCCTCCACCACCACCACCACTCCTGCTCTCTACTGCTACAGAGTCCGAGTCCGGCTGGGCTTCCTCGCCTGTCTGCTCGCTCGGCTCCCCTGCCGCTACCACTAAGTGCTTTGCCTCTGCCTCCTCCTCCTGCTTCCCGCCCGCAGCTGGGGCGGAGGGGCTCTTCGTATCTAAAAGGTCTTCTTCCGACAGAGGGGCGGCGGTGGCAAGTGCGTCTTCCTCTTCCTCCGCTGCCTTTTTGCCCGCCAACGGGCTTTTCGCTTCCTGTGCCTGCTCCGCTTCGGAAGTGTCTTCTTTAAAGGGCTCAGATTTACAAGTGTCACCCAAAATGTCGAGCATTTTCTCATTTTCTATGGATTTAACAGGAATAGAATGGCACAAGGTTTAATCACCAGGGAAACACAGCAAAGACAAGTGCGGAACGGGCATGGCTGCCAGTCTAATGCTACACAGAGATCGGAAAACCCTTGCGTACATCACATTCAAACGCCTAAAAGCTAACTTAACATGGCTTATTAAAGACCAAAAGGTACGAAGAACGTGACCTTATTAGTTTAATGAAAAACCTTCAGGCTCGTTCTTGACAAGTCTTCAAGAGGTTCGTCTGTTCTAGTTCTTCCCAAATTTAGCTTCCCAGGTTTCAAGAGGCTTAAACGGAATGATTCAATGAACTCAAAATTCCATTTCAAACTGAATTTCTCTCTCTTTTTTTAAAAGCAGGGCACTCCAATACGACAGCTCAAACATCTTCTGCCGGTGGATGAATGTGTCAAAGTCGAAGAAAGTAAATAGTATCTTTATGGGATTTCCATTTGGAACCTCTTGTCTTCCTTCTTCTGTTATATCCCGTTACTGACTTAAAACTTGGCATTGCCCTAAGACAACTTTTAAACTGCCTCCACTATTCTACTTGTATCACAAACCAAGGAATTGTACACCACAGTCTGGTCTACGAGCATAAATCTTTTGCCTTCAAGCTCTGACATTACATTTCTAGTGCATCTGTGAAGCTAAGCACAGGCCTTGTTTCAAATGCTTCGTGTCTAGAAAAACAACTCTTAAATGGTAGGCGTTTGCCAGATCTAGGGACGTGGCTGGGCTTCCAACCTTTGCAGACCTTTGCAATGATCTGGATAATCTACTGTACAGTAAAACAAAAGGTTTAAGATCTGTACCTTTCCCACACATTTTTAAAATCAGAAGAATTACTGGAAAGGCAACATATATAACAGTACCTGGCTCTGTATGATGTTCTTCCGAATCCTACAATAAAAATGGAAGGGGGGAAAACACTCCTTAAATGATGAATACAACTCCCCCCAAAGGTTATCAGAACTAGAAAAACATTTAAATTCCTAGATGCCAAAATCATAAACACTGACATATGATGCTTCCTTGTGCCAATCAGACTGCAGTGCCACTCAGCTCAACATTTTCCACTCTAACTGGCACTCTCAGGTCTTTCCAATCTTTCTAACGAGAACTTTTAAACTATAGATGCCAGGGACTGAATGTGGAATTTTCCACATGCCAAGCATGAGCTCGACCACTGAGCCAAAGCCCTCTCCCATCAAAAGTTTAGAAGCTAGTTTAGGATTTCCCCAGTCCTTTATATGGTTTTATCAGAAATGTTATCATCATCCATAGGAACACGTGGTTAGCTCTGATGATGACGAAGACATGTCTGAAAGTCCGAGGGCGGTGCCTGGAAGAATCTCTGCAGAGCAGTACAAGAGCAATACAAGAACTCGTGGGCACTGAATAGAATTGCTGAGCAGATGGGTTAGAACGGATAAAAGGAAGTCCTTCTTCACCGAGTGATTAACACATAGAATTCACTGCCACAGGAGGTGGCGGTGGCTACAAGCATGAACCGCTTCAAGACGGAGTTGGACAAACATAAGGAGCAGAGGTCCATCAGTGGCTATTAGCCACAAGGTATAGATAGGAACTCTCGGTCTGGGGCAAGTGATGCTCTGTATTCTTGGTGCTTGGGGCAACAGTGGGAGGGCTTCTAGTGACCTGACCCCACTGGTGGACCTCCTGATGGCACCTGGTACTTTTGGCCACATTGTGATAGAGTGCTGAACTGGATGGGCCACTGGCCTGATCCAACACTGGCTTCTCTTATGTTCTTAGTTCCTGGCAGCAGGGCTTCAGTGCCCTGTATGGCTTTTTTGCCCTCATCTCATGGCTTGCCTCTGCAGAATAAGTTATGAGACAGAGGAAAAATCCTGGGCAAATTGCAGGATCAAGCTGTACTCGGTCCAAAACAGGGAGAGGAGGAATGCTTTTCAACAGAGTGAAAATTCCTTTGGCTGTGACAAATCTGATTACAGAAACGGAGGCTGCAATCACAGACCTGCGTATCTCACAACAGCACCAACAGCTTATGAGCCAGGCTGCTTTACAAAATTACACCACAGCTGCCTGTCCCTTTGAGACAAAATCTCAACAGACACACACACAGATCAGATGACATCTGCACAACTGCCACAGGTTTTGGATGAGTTACTGGTGTGTAGATAATTAAGAGATTTTATGGTGCAATGACAGCTAGGGCCTACTGCACCATCCATTGGAGGCCTGGTAGCCTGAGGCCAAATCCAGACTCCCAAGCCTCTACAGCGGCCAAAAGAGCCCCTCACTCCAAACCAAGCACAAACAGTTGTGCGCTTCAGATGCCTTCCTCAAAGCTGAAACACAGCTTTAAAGCTATCCTTCTCCTGTAGCATGAACAGCAAGGAAAGCTTCAGCACAGTGCTCCCATTCTAATGCACACTGGCTGCCTGTGGGTAAATGAGAGTGAGCAACTGAAGTGCCTAAAAGAAGTCAAACTTCACCCTGAGAGAGAGGGAGTTGAGTTCTTTGCCTCTGAGAGTCAGTGTTAAAAATATGGCCCCTGTTAAAAACAAAGTGATGACTGAGGTATCAGAATATGCTTTGGGCCCGTGAGGCTGCATCTGGCTATTACCTTCACGGCAGCTACATTAGGAGAAGCAGCATCCAGCACTTTATCAAGTTCCTCGCCATTCTCCTGAAAGAATGAAAACAAAATACTTATTCCTTGCTGAAACTTATTAATTTTTCTCAGGAGGGAAAAAAAAGGAAATTGACATGCATAAATTTGCATACATTCTGGAGCACATGACTATAAATGCTCAGAAGTAACACAAGTCAGATCTCAAATCAACCATACACACAGAAATTTGACTGCCGCTAGCCAACTATCTCAAAGTCACGGATATTCTAACTGCTCAAGTTTAAAGCGTCAGCAATAGAACGTTGATGCTCATGGACTGGAGCGTGTGCGTAGTACTGACAGCTAAGGAGGAGGAAGAGAGTAAAGATACAGGATACACTGGGTTGGGCAACTCTAAGGAGAGTTGTGACCAGGGTGGAGAGCGTAGAAGGACAGGAGCTAAATTTCACATAATGATCTGAACCAACCAACCATGCGAGTTTCTGGCATATAGGAAATAAAAGCGTACAGAAGGACGTCATCCGTTACAGACCTCGTTATCCATCAACTGATCAGGAAGTTCCTTCAGTTCTGCATCAGTATTATCTTTCTCATCAGAGTCAAGAACATTTTCAGTGATGTAATCATCCTTGCAGTCGATGGCACTGGAATTATCTGTTTCAGCTTCATCTAACACGCTGATGTCCATCATGTAAATATCCTGCAAGTTATCTGAACTTGCTTCAGTATCCTCCTGTAAGTGGAGAAGGATGGGCACAAAAAGAACAGACTATTAGCGGTGTGCTTCTAAACAAGTCTGTTAACAAACACTAATTCACACTTCCCCTTCCCTGCATACCTGCCCATCTCTCGAGTTCTCCTCCAATCCATTATCTTCACCATCTTCTTCTTCTGGTTTACGTCCTAAAAACCAACACAGAGGCTCAGGACTAGAGGAATCACCATGTAGCTTGCTGCTTGCTTCAGATTTTTCACCCCTGTTTAAGAATATACTACAGCTATACTGGTTATGGGGTCCAAAGCACTACTCTGACCCCCTGGGGGACCCAGCAAATATGGAATCACCCAGTAAGGAATCTGCCTTCCATTTTTACTTTTATGGAAAATAAGGAAAAGTGCAATACAAAGATTCCACTCAAACTTACAGTTTTTTTGGGGGGGGGGGGATTTTGTACATTAACACGTATATACATATGTACATAATGGTAGTGGAAAGTGTTATCAAGTCTCAGCCAACACCAGTTTGATGTAGTGGTTAAGAGCGTAGGACTCTAATCTGGGAGAACTGGGTTTGATTCCCCACTCCTCTACGTGCAGCTGCTGGTGTGACCTTGGGTCAATTACAAGTCCTTTCAGAGCTCTCTCAGCCCAACCTACCTCACAGGGTGTCTGTCGTGGGGAGGGGAAGGGGATTGTTCTCCTTCGGGTAGTGAAGGGCAGGGTATAAATCCAATCTCTTCTTTTTACGAGACCCCTCAGGGCTTTTCCAGACAAGATACATGCAGAGATGGTGTACCATGTCTTGCCTCTGCGTAGCAACCCTGGCCTTCTTTGGTGGTCTCCCATCCAAATACTAACCAGGGCTGACCTTACTTAGCTTCTGAGATCTGATGAGATAAGCCTAGCCTGGGTTATCTGGGTCAGGGCTATGTATGTAATAGCACTGTCTAAAGACACAACCCAACAGCCTTCCTGAAGTTAAGCGGGCCTAGGACTACTCTAGACACCATCTGGGAACTCTATGTTTCCTTGTGTTTCAGTTTAAAAAAAAAAGCAGAATGCGAACAAAATAAGTAAACAAAAAGCAAACGCATATATGTAATGCTATAAATTTCAGCTCTGTAACAATGAAACCCTTATTGCTCATGATGAGTTATTACACTGAGAACCAGAAAGATAATACTGGCTGCGGTCACACGGAGTATTTGCTGCGCGGACGATACGGATGGTAGGCGGATTTTCCGGGCGCGATCACACCGCAACATCTGGGAAGCGTAGAGCTCCCGTGGCTAACCCGAGGCTTCCCGCCGAAGATGCGGGGCAAGGGCGGGTCTCTGATCGCGTTTCCAGTGGACTTACGTGGCATCCGGCGCCCGCTGCTGTTCGTCGCGCACAAGGGGTTTTTTTGTCTCCCAAGTCTCCGCAGGTTGCGCAACAGTGCCCAACAGCACATGCACACAAAGAGCGATTGCTAGCTTCTGTGCCGCGCTGCAGGATACCCATCTGGTTGGCATCTCCCCCCTAACCGCGGGACCTCGACCGGGACGTGTGCTCGGGCGGCCGTGCGTTAGTTTCCTCCGGGGCAATTAGCCCCCCCACCCGGCAATATCCGGCCCGTGTGACTGGGGCCACTGTTCATTACAGGGTTAGTTTATGTGGCCAAATCAGTTCCTAGATTCCTGTTTGGAGAACCTAGTGATCCTGGAGAATACAAAAGTTGTTCAATCCTAATATAAAGTATAAAATCTGAGCTGAACGATCCTTCAGTAATGAAACCGATTTAGCTACATCTTTAGAAGTGTTTGAAAACCTTCCCACTGGCTAAATGAGAACTACAGAGCAGACTCCAAGCTAGAACTTTGTATACTGGCTACTGGCTGCTACCATCATATGAACACCAACAACTACTAGCACTTTACTATGATTTTATAATTTGCTTTAATTATAATTATGTTTTTAATGTAACTATCTGCTTTTTTGTAAGCCGCCCTGAGTCAGCTCCGGCTCGGAGGGCGGGGCAAAAAGAATATCTGAAAAATCTCTCCTTATATATAATTGAATAGTGGGTGCCAAAGTTCTAATTCTAAAATGCACTCCCTTAGTGTATGGCTGATGGCACTGCTCCTCAGCATATATCGCCACCAATCAGAAGGCAAAGCCCGGGTCCCGCCCACACCACAACTGCTGCGACAACCTGGTCTTTTGCATATGGAAGCTGATTGGACTTCAGTCCATTCCACACCTCAAACTCCCCCCCCCCGCAAGGCAGTTGGAATTTTCAGTTGCCTAACATACCTCATAGGGGAGAGGAGAATGGGTAACAATGGTTACCACTCTCCAGGTGAGGGCTACAGATAACTCAAACATACAAATGCTCTTCAGGTAGCAGAGATCAGTCCCTCTGGAGAAAACAGTGGACTCTGTCATTAAACCCTGCTGAGGTCGCCACAGGAAACTGACACTGTTTGCCCAAAGCCAGAGCACTCTCCCAGAGCCTCTTTCTAGATCCCGTTGTATTTATTTCTGCAACGGGCATTATTTCTAGTAAATAAATAAAACCATTGCCCTCTTCCCAGCTTGGAAGTTTCAACGTTTATATGAAAGCACAAACACAACGCATCTTTGCTTTCTTAATTAAAAACCTCAGTACAGACTGTTCTGCAAAGCTACTGTATTAAGATCTGGCGATAGCTTGAAACATGCACCTACATCTATATTAGAGGACAGCTCTGGAGAGAAGAGATTTTGTATAACTTCAAAACAGATTCAACATGATGGCAAGATAGACATGCTTTTCTCTGTACCTTTTACGGTTCTTTTGGGTGTCCTCTTGTTGGTAATCTCGGTAGAGGCTGGAATTTCATCAGGATTTCCCCCTTCTTCCTCAATGGCCTGTTAGGAAGACACAATTGTGAATATTTCTACAAGAACAGTTATCACTTTTGTGAGTCACTGCTCACTTCTTCAGATATCTGAAAAAGTGAGTAGTGCCTCACGAAAGCTCCTACCCTGCCACAAATTGTGTTAGTCTTTAAGGTGCTCCTGGACTCTTGCTCTTTTCTCCTGCTACATACATTGTATGATACTTCCTAAAAGGAGTAAAGTCAGGCTCTTCTCTGCATTTCAAAAAGGAAGTATTCACTGCCTACATAATGGATGAGAGACCCAGGAAAGTGTGGTATGAGGCCTACCCTTGTAACAGGAACAAACAGCTCAAAACTATTGTTAGACTTTTTAAAAGGAAAAAAACAGCTGAACTGAAGCAGAGGCTATCTAAACTGAAATCACTGATGCATGGAGAGAAGTTTAGTGAAACACGCAGGGAGGCATTTTAGGATTTGCAGTTGTTGTCCTGAGAGGTTGACACCCTGGAACTCCAAGAGGTATACTGGTGGTGATAGTCCCAACCCCCTCTGCTTCCCAACAAAGAAGTTTTAGAAAAGTAAAAACTGGTTGCTTTCCCTCGATGACTGGTGATAGCCATGCTTTAACATTAAGGTTAATCCTTGTATTCTATGACCCAACTGAAATACCCTTACCCTGCCTACACAAACATAAATTAAATAAGACAGATACACTGCCTGTTCTGTCACATCAGTTGCAAGCAAAGATTGCTTCTGAATGTCGAGTGTTGAAGAGTGTGTCCGATCCTCCACGCATTCAGCTAAACACACCTTTGTAGCAAAGTAGTGTTTATTCAAGCAATGAAGAAACTGGAACACAGGGATTGTTTGGAATGGCCAGGAAATGCAGGGCACAAGATAATAAATGGATTCATACAATGCAATAACCAATAATCATGGTTCCTGCTTTCACAGGTGTTTCCAAAGCTCGCGCCTAAAGCCTGAGAATTGAAACGGCTCTAAAGATAAACAATTACTAGCTTCTCATGACCTAGCTCATTATAATATACGCACAGACACAACTCCAACTCCACACCTGTTAACCTTGTAGATAACTATGTTTCAAAGCAGTACTAGCATATACAGAAAGGAATGCAGATTGCAGGCTGCTGGTAGCATACATGCACAGTGGGGTCTGAGAAGAACCAGGGAGGGCAGAGATGGGGTGTACAAAGGTTACACAGAGTTCTTTGGCAGCTTGCTGACAGAGTGAAGGTCATAAGATGCACTGAGAGTATACTGGACTACTTGTGGACACGCTCAAAGCTGGGGGTCACTGGCCAGCAGACAAGGGGAAAATGAAGCGTCTGAAGGGGAAGGTTAGAAAATTTCCAGAAAACTTGGTTAATATACTTCTGCAGACTGAGGCTATTTCAGCATCATTTCTTGATAGCCATCACTGTCTACAAATATATTAAGACCATATTATGCCATCCAAACGATTGCTATATCTAGCCAAGTATGACCAGCAGTTGTTCACAAAGACCTCAGGCAATGAGGTCTTTCCTGGACTTGCTATCTGAGCTTCAGCCAGCTTAAGTCTTACCCCAGCTATGAATTCATTGGGTAGCCTTATACATGTCATCAATTGATCCCCACGACTGCACAGGTAACACAAGATACTTCCAGCTACCTTAGAAATTTATTGTAAGGGTAACTGAGATAATATCCAATACATGATTTACCCAAATTTAATATCTAATAGCCCCAACATGCAGATCTAAAAATCCATTTTTTTTGGGAGGGAGGGAGCAATCAGGGCTTGAGTATGTTCCTGGTAACCTGGATTTGCCGAAAAATATGAAAACATAAAAAGGGAGAGAAATTTAAAATCATTAGAAAGTAAAAAGTGATGTCTGTACATGTGCAGACAGGCAATGCAGGAGAAAAGACACCTGGGTGGCACTATGGACCGCTGTAGCAACCTAAAATGATGCAAGTTACAACATATTGCATGGCCTCCACCTGCAGCTGGCTGTAGTAGGCAAGAGGGGAGGGGGGGCTACAAGGCCTGAGCGATGAAGGTTTGGGAGGGAAACTGGCAGCTGAGAAGGGTAGACATATTGGTGAGGGAAGGAAGCAGCAGCACATGTTGGGGGGAAGCAGCCAACGGGATTTCCCTTCTCATTGACTAGTTACTTTGAAGGAAGGACAAAACCCACCAGACAAAGATAATAATCTTGCTGAGACAGAAGACTGGTAAAGGCACATGACCTTCCTTGAAATACAGCTTGATCAATGTGCATAATTCCTGCTCTGCTTCTGCAATGTTACAGCAGAGAAGTGATTGGTGAATTCTAAGCCGCACTCAATTCATGCTGTTCAGCAGCAAGAAAACCTAATAGCGACCGCGTAAACCAAGCATGTGCCCTAGAACATGTCCCAGAGTCTTCTGCAACACACAGGGTATTTCAACAAACATGATGGTGTTTCCAAGATGTAATAATGCAGAAAAGGCAAGCCTGAAAGCCACTACCCTAGCACATTACTTATAGCAAATGATGCTGAAAAGCAGAATATAAAACCTTATCTCCGTTTCAAAATTGCTGTGAAATCTGATTATTATTCCTTCTTTTTACACTTCTGTAGTAAAGGCAAAACTCCCTTTCCAAAGTGACTTATCTGGTCAATCTTCCAGAACTTTTTAACCGTCCAGAATAGAAACAAGAACTTTATTTCATAGAATCATAGAAGCACAGAGTTGGAAGGGGCCATACAGGCCATCTATACAGGATTAAACCTGTAATTCAGTTTTTTCCAGTGCCAGCTTCAAAGCTCTGGGATACACTAGGGATACCTTTTAAGCTCTGCTGAAGGAGAGCCCTGCGATTTTTTCATCTTGGGACAAAGAATGAATGCAGTCTAGACTACCTGGTATAAAATGGTGCTGACTTTTCTCTCTCCCTAAACGTCAAGATCAACAAAAGGGATCCCACATTCTCTCCCTCAGATCTACTGAGAAGATGGGATGGGCAAAAAAAAAAAAAGGACCTTCTTCCCTCAAGATGGGTAGCCGTGTTAGTCTGTCTGTAGCAACAGAAAAGAACAAGAGACCAACAGAACCTTAAAGACTAACACAATTTGTGGCAGGGGAGGAGCTTTCATGAGTCACTGCTCATTTCTTCAGACATCTGAAGAAGTGAGCAGTGCTTCATGAAAGCTCCTCCCCTGCCACAAATTGGTGCCTCTTTGTATGCACTGTTGGAGCAGGAGGCTGACAGCCTCTAAGATACTACTGGACTCTTGCTACTTTTCTACATCTTCCTTAGAATCACAGAGTTGGAAGGGGCCATACAGGCCATCTAGTCCAACCCCCTGCTCAATGCAGGATCAGCCTACAGCATCCCTGACAAGGGTTTGTCCAGCCGCTACTTAAAGACTGCCAGTGAGGTGGAGCTCACCACCTCCCTAGGCAGCTGATTCCACTATTGCAGAACTCTGACTGTAAAAAACTTTTCCTGATATCCTGCCAGTACCTTCCCACCCTTAATTTAAACCCATGATTACGAGTCCTATCCTCTGCTGCCAACAGGAACAGCTCCCTGCCCTCCTCCTCGAAGTGACAGCCCTTCAAACACTTCAAGAGAGCAATTATGTCCCCCTCAACCTCCTCTTCTCCAGACTCAACATTCTCAAGTCCCTCAGCCTTTCCTCATGGGGCTTGGTCTCCAGGCCTCTGATCATTCTCATCGCTCTCCTCTGCACCCCCTCCATTCTGTCCACATCCTTTTTGAAGTAAGGCCTCCAGATCAGCACACTCCAGGTGTGGCCTGACCAAAGCAATGCACAAGCAGGACTAGGACATCTTGCGATTTGGATGTTATGCCTCTGTTGATACACCCCAAGACTGCATTTGCCTTTTTTGTTGCTGTATCACACTGGCTGCTCATATTTAACCTACAGTCCACCTGTACCCCAAGATCTTGTTCACACACACTGCTACTCAGAAGTGTATCCTCCACCAGTATGCATGCTCCTCATTTTTGTTACCCAGATGTAGAACTGGGCACTTATACTTATTAAATTGCATCTTGTTCGCATCCACCCATTTTCCCAGTGTTCAGATCTCGTTGAATTCTATATCTTCTGGTGCTGCTCTTCCCAATTTGGTGTCATCTCCAAATTTAATGAGTACCCCTCCAAACCTCATCCAGATCATTTATAAAAATACTGAGAAGTACTGGGCCCAGAACCGAGCCCTGTGGCACCCAACCGGACACCTCCCTCCATTCAGATGAAATGCCACTGACAACTACAGATGGACAAATACAACCCTCCTTTTCTCCCTACCACACCTATCTGGATTTCTTTCAGCTGAAGACAGATTTATTTAGGACTGCAATTGACTGATTAACAGTTTTTATTGGCAGTCGTGATCGGAATGTTTAAACTGTTGACTTTTCATTGTGTGTTTATAACTGTTGCTTTTAAAATTTATTTAAATAATGTTTTATTTAAATTGTAAACCACCTCAAGTTCTGCATGGAAGAAAAGCAGTTAATACAGGTTTAAAATAAGTAAAACTAAATCAGTTCCTTTCCCCTCACTTGCCTTATTTTCCTTTTCCCCTTCTCACCACCTCTATCCTCATCTGAACCTACCCCTTCAGGATTCCCTGAGTATTTGCCACTCATTTTCCTTTCTGAGAAACTTGCACCTAGGCTTTCCCAGTCTCTAATCTGGTTAAGATGGGTACCCATTAGTCTTTCTGTAGCTGTAGAAAAGAGCAAATGTCCAGGACCACCTTAAAGACTAACATTTGTGGCAGGGTAGGGGCTTTCATGAGTCAGTGCTCACTTCTTCAGATAGATCAAGATGGGTGCCTGCATTAACCTGTCTGTAGCAGGAAAAAAGAGCAAGAGACCAGTAGCACCTTAAAGACTAACAACATTTGTAGCAGGGTAGGAGCTTTTTTCAGTCACTGCTCATTTCTTTTTCTAGCTGTATCTGAAGAAGCGAGAGCACAGGTGTAGGTGGCTCTCGGCTAACTGTTTCAACTGTTAAGAGAGGATGACTAGCCCAAATTCACCCACAGCTAAAGGGGGGGGGGAGAGAGACTTGAACCCAGCTCTCGCCTATCCTCATGTCTGGAAGCATCAACACAGCAATTCTTAGTGGGGGTTATCCCCTAAAAATCTAATTCAAGGGGCTTTAAGTCAGCACCCTCCCCCCACCACTTGCAAAGAGCTTCAGACATCCGGAAGGGTTTTAGACTGTTTACCCCAACCTTAGCGATTAAAAAAAAATTAACCCCAGATCTCTCTTTCTTTTGGTGTAGTGGTTATGGTGCTGCACTGGGAACTGGGCGACCCAGGTTCGAATCCCCATTCTTTTCATGGAAGTTCCCTGGTGACCTTGGGCCAGTCACACGCTGCCATCCCTGCCTCCCCCACAGGGTTGTTGGGTTGCCAGCAGTGTTCCCGCTGAGCTGAGTTAGTGTGAGCTAACTCACAGTTTTCTAGCTTCCAGCTCACTCCTTTTTGTTTTAGCTCAGGAAGGATGGCTCCAGACTGAACTAATTTATGCAGCAGCCAAATTGCTCACTTGCAACTTTAATGTCAGAGCCCACAAGACTCCACAGCTGAGAGGGAGCATCGGGTGCCAGGTCCCCCCTGGCCACTGATGGGGGATGGGGGGGGTAAGGGTTTCCAGATCCAGGCTGGGAAACGCCTGAAGATTTTTTTTGGGGGGGAGGGTGGAGCCTGGGGAAGCCAAGGACCTCAGCGGGATACAATGCCAGAGTCCGCCCTTCAGAGCATCCACTGTCTCCAGGGGGACGGATCTCTCTGGGGTCTGGACCGCAGTGTTCCCTCTAAGCTGAGTCAGCGTGAGCCATTTTTTTTTTTTAGCCTCCGGCTCACAGATTTTCGTCTCCGCTCAGGAAGGAGGGCTCCAGAACAACC